ATTGTACAGTGGCATTAAGTGCCGTAATGTGCACCTCTGCCTACCCCTTCGGGGATAAAAAGGCGTGATGTTATGTTATGTGTTATGTTACATTAAAAGCTTTTCGTACTCAACACACAATAGTACAATATAGCGGTTACGTAAAGTGACAGGACGAAATCTATAAAGAAAGACATGTTTATAAATTCAAAAACGGCTTAATTGATTTGGTTGATAATTGGTGGTTAGGTAGCTTAGAACCAGGAGACGGATGTAGGATATTATATAAAAGTATTGTAATTTATTTTTTAGTAAACACAACAAACGAGAACGGGGTCACGAAGTCGCGGGCAGAAGCTAATCTTATCTTATCTTATACATATAAAAATGAAACCCGTTTCCCGTTGTCACGCCATAACTTGAGAATGGCTGGACCGATTTGGCTGATTTTTTTTGTTTTGTTTGTTATTGTCAGGAGAAGGTACTTATGATAGAAAAAATCTTGATAATCTTATAGGAACAGGAGAAAACGGTATTGCGCATACGAAGTCGCTGGCAGAAGCTAGTAGCTAATAAACGCCGAATGAAATAGATTTTTAATATTAAACTGTCAAACACCAAGCGGTCACCGGTGACCGCAACCTATTTTTCTATAATTGTGGCTACGAAACCGGTACTCGACGAGTTAATATTATGATTAAGTAACTTCACACAAATATACAAAAGTTATTTTTACAATTTGAGATCTTAACAATCTAACAATAACTGTAATAAAGTTTTGCTATGTGTTATACAACTTACAATTATTGTTTCAGGTGTGTGTCCTCTTGTTCTTGGTCATCCTGGAAGGATTCTATTGTAAGTATATTTATTAAGCGTAAATAAATGGGTCAGCGTCGGCGTTCAGCCACTATCCCACCTGATGGTAAGCGATGATGTGACCTGCGATGGAGCATGCCTACTCATAAGCATCCTGTTTATTCGAGACTTGAGGACCCCCAGGTTGTACACTTCAGAAAACACAGGCTCTGGCAAAGAGTTCCTCTCCTTTGCTATTCACACAAGAAAAATGGCTTCGTTTGGGTGGGTGGAACATTTACCAAATAATGGTGATATTTGACCGTGAAATGATAAAAACCGTGAAATGTACTCATAACACATATATAACTTAACATCACGCCTTTTCATCCCCGAAGGAGTAGGCAGAGGTCCACATTACTGCACTTAATGCCATTGTACAATATAATACCCACTTTTCATTATTTATTTTATGGGTCTCATGTGTGAGCCTATTGCCGTATACCGGGCACAATTCCAGACTTCGTGCTACTACTGAGATTTAAAAAAAACCCAGTAGTACTTTGTTTCGGGAGTCGAACGCGAGACCCCTTGCCCGGCAATCGCACTTGCGACCACTCGGCCAACGAGGCAGTCTCATGGCAGGAAAATGTACTCATATTACGCCATTACTATATGTATTATAATGCATCGTGTACCGTACCTCTTCTACCTCTTTGGGGATAAAAGGTGAGGCAGTAAAAACAAAAACATTTATCACAGACCAGGTACTACCCTAGTCTCTCTTTCTTACGACGCCCAAAGATGTCGTATTAAATGTAAATTTTCTGTGTTTCAGGTGCACCATCACTTTGGTATGTCGACCCAGACGTTTTGAAACAAGGCTAGTAAATATGAAGAACAAAATCTTAAAATTTGTATTAAACTTTTTTATGTTTAGTAAAATTTCTGTGGCAAATATATGTATAATGTTGATGTGACAATAATTCGTGCAACGTGGCTACAAATGCCGTGATTCCATCTTTACATATATAATTTTTCTGTGAGTGTGTATGTCACTGAACTTCAAATCAGGCCGACAGATGGCGCTGCAGTCGGTATCTAGGTTATTTATCTATACCTATTATTATATTATATGCAGGACAACGTCTGTCGGGTCCGCTAGTTATGTACCTCGACATAGTCGGTCTCTAAAACTATTAATTATCATTATATTAAATGTTAATTTATTGAAATAAATCATCTTGTCTACTTCAATTCTGTTCCTTTTTATTTTACCTAATATACATACCATAAACACGTGCATAATATGTATAACATCACGATTTACATATACACTTATACAGTCCCTGGCTATATTATTAGATGCACTGACATTTTTATTAAATAATTATTTTGATATCTAGAAGTTCCTATTAGGCATAGCGTGATATTTAATATTTCATAACCTTCGTTGATAAATGGACTATACTCCACATAAAATTGTTTTCAATCTAAGCCAGTATTTCCGAAGATAATTGTGTTTCAACAAACAAAGTTTTCGATTTCATAACACATGTAAGTAAAAGTATAAGAATAAATTAACACTGTAATTCTTTATTTTAAAATAAATATCAATCCAAAAATACAACATATTTCCTCACTCATATGTTAATACATGAAAGTACAAAATATGAATGACGTCTCATCTAAATTAATGACATATTGTTGAAAAAAAACAATAGTGCGTCTAATAATGTGGCTAGGGACTGTACAGTGTATGTATGTACATACCTAAGCATACAGACATATACATTACTTATTTTCAGTCATGTTATGAGTTTATCGTAATAGGGAGGGAAAACCCATTACCATAGTTAAATGACGCTTTGCCTGACTTGGGAATCGACTCCAAGTCCTCATGCTTGGTTAAAAATTGCCCTTAAGGTCAATTGCCTAATGAGACAGTCCTTTTTTGTGTGTGTGTATAACTCTCATTTCCTTATATTCCCTGAATAGACGTCTTTAATTGCACCATTAGCAAATAGGAGGATTATTTATATTAGGGACTGTCTTTTGAGGGGGGAAACTCATCTAATGGCTTCTCCTACCTGGGGTGAGGGGGCAGCGAGTATCAGACTCTAACTGACTGAAAGCTATCCCGTTCCTACTCTTGCTTAGAGCAGGAGCCCAGGTAACCAGCTAGATAGTCCACAGCTCCGTATAATTTTAACTATTTATATTGAATATTTATGGCTGATTTTCATATCATGATAACCCTGTAACAGATATTCCAGGATCGTTATCATAAAATGAAACCATGGCTGTCCCTTCTATTTACATTTGACATACAACAGTTAGTATTCATAATAGTACATTCTGACGTTATTCTTGGTTTACAACATAACAAAGTAAAACATATAGAAAATAAATACATACATAAATTACTATCATACAATTTGTTAGAAATAGACACAATTCTGATTACAATGAATCTACGAAATCGTAGCACGATGCTACGCCGTAGCACCCTTCGCTACGAACTACTAAAACTACTAGTACATAGTTACTGAGGTTTTGTAGGCAGATAATCTATTTCTGGCTGAATCTTTAGAGTGGGATGTAGACTGATGATTATAAAGTTGATATAACGTCATTGTCATTGGGGTAGCAAGAGGTACGCATCAGTTATGTCATGCATCAAAATTTTGGTTATACAACAAATGTAGGCGAACCGCCCAATTCATACGATAGATACTTTACCTCTATAGTCACACACATGATCTCAAATCGTTACGTCACCTTCACTATCGTGTACATCTGCCTGTATCTACTACGTTCCCCACTACCACAAATATGCCTCCTTCTAAGCCCCGCCTCCACGGAGTTTAAAAAAAGTCACCCGGCACCACAAGGACCGAGGATCATCTCCCCTACAGTCGTGCAAACGCTGGCCGACCAAACCTCGTCTCAAAATCCTTTCTCTGAGCTCCCTGAGTCGTTTAATTAAACGCGTTTCCTATAAAGATATTTGTAAAGATTAAATACTTCCTCGTTGGCCGAGTGGTCGCGACGGCAAGGGGTCTCGGTTTCGGTTCCCGGGTCGGGCAAAGTATTACTGGGTTTTTAAACAAAATCTTAGTAGTAACGTGAGTCTGGAATTGTACCAAGTTTGTAATTATGTCGCAACCGAGGGCTGGGCTCGCTGCTATTGCAGCAGTAAGTCCCCATTTTGTCGGGAGAGTGACTGGAGAGATGTCATGGCGTCCTCACCTACCGCCTGACGCAGGTGTTTACCAGACACGGAAGTTTCGGTAGGTTTCAGTTTCCGATCGGGTGGGAGGAAACGCCCAGGTGTCATCACTGCGAGGACTGCCCGGAGGACACGGTGGATCATACGGTAGCACTGTGCCCTGCGTGGACTGAGCACCGCCGTGTCCTCAGAAATGTGATTGGCGAATGCGACCTTTCGCGAGGGGGACTGGGATGCCGTCTTCTCTTTCTGCAAAGTGGTCATGCTAGCTAAGGAGGCGACGGGGCGCGTGAGGGAAGAAACCTCTCACGCCGCAGCTGTCGCGAGAGACATTCCGGGCGTCGAGGATCGCAGGATGATCTCCGGCCACCCAAAAGCACGGGCCTGCGGACGGCGAGCACGGGTTGCCGGGGCTCCGGCTTGTAGTGCAGGAGTAGGAATGGGGTGATAGCCACAACACAATATTTTGGGTGCATAATCAAAGCAACTTTGATTAGGGAAGAAACTCGAGACGGGTTGAGACCTCGTGCTTGACAGTAGTAGTTGGGATCACTCGACACACTACTATTTAGATATGTATAGTCCATCTGTTTAGGTAATTAACTAAAGGTAAACAAAAAAACCACGTGACACAGAGATTCTTAACCCTTTATTACTTTAAATATTTCTTGTGTTTTAATTTAAACTAAATTCACTTTAAAATCATTTATTTGTCACACACACACACACACACATACACGTACAAGCACAAATGCTTAAAATTTTGTGAAAATGGGTTTATTTCATTATCATGTTTAAATCTACTGTAGAAGAAACTATTCTGAATCTGATGTAAGTACAGATTTCTTTCTTGTACGGATATGTGTCTTTAGGCCAAGTTTCTTCAATAAATTTGAACACATTAATTACAAACAATGAATAACCTAATTTTAAATAACTAAATAACGAAAACAAAACAAAGAAACAAGATAAATTGAACAAAATGGGAACGCGAGCGCAAACGACGAGAGAGCTGTCAATGGCGATTTAATAACCGACTAAACGTAATACACGTTCATTTTGTTGTCGCGCTACATCTTAGTTGTACTCTTTAATTTGATAACATTATCTAATGCTTCGTTCTTAAAGAAAGGTTTTGAATACCTGGCATTTTAGGCTCTTTATGGTGTCTATTGTAATAAAATATTATATCATTTAATAAATGTTATTAAATTATTATGCTCAAGCAGATATATATATATATATATATATATAATATTTACTAAGAAATAAGTAAAAAGGAACAGAAACATAACATTTAATAGAGAAATCTGTCATAAAAATGGAAACAAACAAGTATTTTGAATCATGGAAATGTCAACTATAAACAACTCTTTTTATGATTTGTTTACAAATAGTTAACTACCTAAACAGACTGAGTATAGTATTATCAGCTAAGCAACTATTTTAGTCGGCATAGCAGCAAAAATAAAAAAAGATTAGTCGATATTTTTGTTATTATTGTAAGTTAAACATCTTAATTGTTGTTATTCGTCATTAGGGAACTCATACTAGTACTTTGTGATAACATTTATAAGAAGATAAATCGCGTCTGTATAAATGTTACTGTGATCTCTATATCTCGTCAGTTCACGCCAAGCTCGAGCAGTGACGCCATTTTCAATATTGCAGTGTGTGAGTGCTGCAGCCATGAAGTTCATTGTGAGTACTGGTTATATTTAAAACTTGATGCTTATTGATATGATGACAGTATACGACTTACACCTGAAATTAATAACCCAAAATCTTTGGATGAGGATCGACTTTTGACATTATGGAGTTTTCGGCTAACTCACGTAATGGGGATTGTTTAAAAAAATTGAGGAGTTGTTTTTATTTTATCTTCGTCTAAAATGAAGTATTTTAAGATACTAATTTGAGTATTTCTCCAAAACAGTGTAAAGTAAAATTTATAATCGACTTTAATACATTCTGTCCTTCTACGTCATCTTAGGACTTATCGTAGGTAATTCATTTATTCATATTGGGAATCTTAAAAAAGTAAAACGTCAATGACAATCAAACGTCAATGTCAATTCCGGATTTCGTTTCGTACATAACCTATTCGTAATTTTGCTAATTTAAAATGGCTGGTTCTTCGAATACGATTATTTTAAATTCCGCTGACTTTATTTATTTATTTATTTATTGCAAAATGTATATACATAGTGGTATTATACTACTAGTACAGTACATCACCCTGTTAGGGCGCAGCAATTTAACTTATAAATAATAACTAAATAATCATATAATATATTATGTACTTATTCTAATCATTATTAACTTAATTACTCACTATAAACTTATTACTATTAAAAATTTTTATCACTTATACCTCTATACCTATATGACAATTATATTTATTAAGGCTGATTCTCGGAATCTGCCGAAAGTTGAAAATGTAATGATATTGGAGTTCATGGCTACCAATAGTAAGCACAATGTTAGTGAAATAAGAGGTGCTAAAATGCTGATGTAAGTATATTGTTATTTTTTATATCGACGTCTTATCTTTGTCATTCTATGTATTTTTCTAATATCTTAGTGATGAGTAGGTACTAAACGTTTTGTATTAGTAGCAGATGTAGCGTAGAAAATTACGGGATTGTCTCCCGTACAGACTTGTATGTGCAACAGTGGAAACTGCTGCCTATCATTAGATACTTTGCATAAAAGATCGATTATCTTAGTGCATTGTTATAAATTAAATTAATTATAAACCTAGTTTGACCCAACAGGTTGTAAAGTTTATTACATTGCAAAAATATTTTCAGGTCATCTCGGGTATCTTATCTAAGTACTGCTGTTGGATATGTTCAAGTTAGTAGGACTGGGAGTAACTGTGTAGTAAAAGCAAGAATCGTACCCGAACATAGAATCAGCGATAAACTATACACAGTACTTTGCCAAATAGATGAAATGAATGATGTTATTGTAGACTCAGTATGTCAAGACTGTGCAGCGTCTGCGGGTAAGTGCCTTCTTTATATTTTGTAAATACAACAAGTAAAATTAAAATTATTGCATTACTTTCTTTCTTCAACCATAAGTTTATCTCTAAATCACTCATAATCAGTTTTCGAGTTATTATAATATATTAAACAGACTATAAGGCCGATATGGGGCAGTCCTGCTCTCAACTAAGTAGTTTTGTTGTTTGTAGCGATTGTGTCATGTAATTTTTTTGTATATCATGGATGGAAAAGAGCTAAGGCTAGTTTTATATACATAACACTTGTTTTTTCTGTACAGGTGGCTGCAAACATTCATTGTTACTACTTTTCTGGCTTGAAAAAAGAAGTTCAGAACCATCACCCACAGAAACTTGTTGTTACTGGAACAAGCCATCACTGTCAAGTGCTCGAACACAACACGTCACTAGTAAAGACATATTTGTGAAGGCGAAGAAGCCAAAGTTGGAAGTTAAAGATAGCTCCGTATTACAAGAATTTAAAGAGGAGTGTGCAACAAGACAAGTCAAAAATTCTTTAATTATTAATTATAGTGAGTTACATGAATTTAACTCCAAAAATATATTTGATATGATGTCAGGGTTTCTTGAAGCATACACCATCCATAGCTTCTGTAACTTCCAACAATATTTAAAATCCAAGATTACTATAGATACTATTGAGGAAATTAATATTAAAACAATGGGTCAAGCAGACAGTAAATACTGGCACAGTATAAGACAAGGAAGATTGACAGCTTCAAAATTGTATGAGGCTGCACATTGTAATACTGATGGGTCATTGGTCCAGCAAATATTAGGGGGCTACAAAATACCTGAAACCAAAGCCATTCAACGGGGAAAAAAATTGGAAGAAAGAGTGCTAAGAGTAGTAGAACAAAAGTTAAATATTAAATTTAGAAAATCAGGATTTGTATTAATTAATGGAATATTGGGAGCATCACCTGATGGTGTGGCTGATGACTTTGTCATAGAAATAAAATGCCCTTTTACAGAAAAATCGGTCCGGAACTATGTAAAGGATGACATTATAAATGATAAGTATAGAACACAAATACATTGCCAAATGCTCGCATGTGGAAAAAACAGGGGAGTATTTTGTGTTGCAGATCCAAAATTTGAGACCACAAAGAATGTGCATCTAATATGGGAAGACTTGGATAAAAACTTTATTATGGGTATAATAAATAAAGCGGAAAATTTTTGGAAAGATTACATTTTTCCGAAATTAATGTCAAGTGCAAAATAAATAAACATGTGTTATTTTTAATAAGTCTTTATTATTTCTCCTTGTAAATTTATTAACCCACAAGATATAATAACAATTTCGTCTAAATAGGGAACATATTTGTAGTTAACCACTGAGTGTGGTTTCAGCATAGCAAACTCTCTTACACGTCTTATAACCCTTTCTACGTGGATCCTCAAACTAGCTATAACTTTGCTCTGTAACGTTTCTGTTACAGTCTGCTTCATTCCAGAATAAACTGTTGGTGGTCTAAGGAGTGTTACATGTTTCAGTGCTAGCAACGACTCTATTTCTTTGAAACCTCTGTCAGCCAATACTACACTGTTTGGTTGAACAATATCTAAAAAATTACTTTTTTCAACAAGAGCTTTATCAGATATTCTTCCCCCATAACCTTCAGATATAAAACTTATTAATCCATCTGGAGTGCAACCTATTAAATATTTAACAGTATTGCAGTTTTTATACTGTGACCATGTTTGTGCTTGCTTTATTGGGTCTGATGGCTTAGCAATCTGTATTTCAAAACAGTCTATAATAATTTGCACATTAGAGTATCTTATTTTAAATACCAAAGGTAAATTCTGTTTTATTAGTTTTGGCTGTGGATTATAAACAAGATTTTGAAAAAAATTCGCCAGTACTTCAATACCTAGGAGAATCATGCTAGACAATTTTGTTCGTGATAATTCAAATAGGTCACTTATTTTTTCAATAGAATCATTTTGTTTTATTTTAAACAATGTGACTATGATACAAAGCGAATCTACTTTTGTGGTACTTTTACTGACCAGATAATCTATAAACCACAAATATTGTAATATTATTATTATTGTAGAGGTTATCCTAAATACATCTTGGGTTTTTTAAAAATAATTTCTAAAACATTACTTCTCATTTGCATCTTAGGTTTAGGCTTTTCTGATGTGGTTTCTTCAGTTTCTGATGTATAACCAAACAGGGAGGGAGTTGTTGCTGAAGAAGATTTTGTCAGGGCTATTTATGGAATCATTCTTACAAGTAGGAACAAAGCATTTTCTATGTGCCATGACAATGAATAAGTTGTTTATAATATTATGTTAAATGTTTACGTTGGTTTCGGTTTGAATTGAATCTCAAAGTAAGGTTATGTATGTATTTGACATGACAGTTGACGCTTCGCAGATGTCAAATCTCTTCTTCATATAGATTGCGTATTAGCAGGCAAAGGCAGTCCTCTATACCGCCTTAAAATGACGTCATTCAATGTCAAATAAAGGTCATTCATATTTCTTTAAAAATATCAGTAATGGTATGTACCGTATTTCAGGGTGTCGTATAGATAAAACTATTAATAAACCTTATTCCCCGAAATGGTTTTTCAATAAGCCCGAATAAAAAAAAATAGACAATCCCCATTGTTTGACATAGCAGCGCGACAGTCACCGCGTCGTGTGTCGCGGAATGCTGCTCATGAATATGAGCCTCTAGCATGGCTGGAAACTGGTCGAGTTCCTCGTCAAACAGTTACGTGAGAAGGCCGAAAACAAAATAATTGGGTACCTACTTGCCAACTAGTCAAATTCAGTCAATACTTTTTTCAAACTGTCAAAAACCACAGTTTTCTATTAATTTTGTACGAGATTGTGTATTGTGACGTCACGTTTTTGTAGCGTCAAACAGCATTCTTATTTCTTAAAAATTTGCTGGAAAAATTCTAAAAATAAGTTGGTCGTAAAATCAATTAATGAAAGTGAGATTATTTATTAATATTTTATTGTATTGAACAGTCGAATTAATTTATTTTTGAGGAAGACAAGTACCCAATTAATGTATGCTACATGTGTACGTGTGTGTTTCTAAGATTGCAATATAATTGTTTCAGGTATGTGTCTTCTTGTTGTTGGTGATCTTGGAGGGATTCCAATGTGAGTATATTGAGCATTACGTTACATTTTATGTAGAATGTGCACTCTTTGTTGGGTCAAATACTTCAAGTTCCCTCAATCGCAGCACTTATTTTATTTCATCATTTTATTTAAAAAAGTGTGAAGCGTAATTAATAGGTTTTTGAAAACTTTGAAGGAACCCCGATGATCAGAGGACATTTGAAAATAGAAACGATATAAATATCATACTTACAGAGGGCCTATAGGGCCTATATTCAAACCAGAACCGGCGAGATATAAGGCATTACTCTCACTAATATATAGTAATTAATCAATCAATCAATCTATTTATTTATTCAGATAATACAATCCATATGGTTAGTAGAGACATACACAACTTATAAACTACTTAGTAGTACATAAAACATCATTATATAAAAATAAAATAATTTGTCATAAATAATGTAATACAATAACAATACAAACGACTTTCTGGGCACGGTTTGTAGGCAACACTTGCGTCTTCGTCCAGTGTTTTAACATAAGGCCATCAGTAATGATAAAATAATATAATTCCCGGGTCGGCCAAAGCACTACTGGGTTTGAATAATTCTCGGTGATAGCACGGAGTCTGAAATTGTGCCCAGTATATGCAGTATGGCAATAGATGCACCCACTATTACATGGGACTCATAACATAAATAGTGAAAACTGAGTGTTACGTTGTACAGTGACATTAAGTGCCGTAATATGCACCTCTGCCAACTCCTTCTGGGATAAAGGCGTGATGTTCTGTTATGATGTTATGTAATAAAAATCGTTTATTTGCAAAAACAGATTACGGACCTATATCTACCTATATATATCTAGAGGTATATACCTCTACATGTAATATGACTTCAAGCCTAATATTCTTTGAATTTATTTCAGGTGCACCATGCTTGGAGTGGTTATTTGGTTATCCTCCACGACAAAATATTTACATTGTACAAAATCAGTACATTAACTATGGAAACGGTAATACCATGATCGTGCGTCAATATCCTAATTATTATGGATTTTTATTATTATAATGTAATGCTAGTTAATTTGAAAAAAAGACACCGAACATAATACAAGTTATTATTATTATAAGTCAATAAATTAATATTATACCTCTAAGTATACATAATATGGATTTTTATTTACCTAATAACATCGTAATGTAACCAGCACGTTCCGAAGAAGGAATAATTATAAGCCCCTTGTACGTAATGTAGAATTCCATACTTCGTCTTACTGTTGAGAATTTCGATAGCTGAAAGTATATTTTTATTGAAATACCATCGGCACCAATCTTAAACACATAGCTCTGCAATGGGGCCAGTGTAAATCTCTCGTTTTTTATTCAATATAAAATTATCTAGTGTTACGAACGTCCATTGGACGTTTATTATTTGACAGTTGTTGTGATTGGACAAAAATTATCTTGCTACGTTTGCGCCATATAGATGGCGCAAACGTAGCTCAGCAGCAGCAGCTCAATAGTGAGCTGAAAAGCGGTAGCCTCCATTGAAGTCGCAGTGATGTGACCCAGTCAGAAGGAGTATTCCTGTTTGAGAGCCTATTTATGAGTGTCATATATAAATATACCTAAGGTTTAAAATCGATGGAGATCAAAGATAAATAGGTGTTCTAGGTGCTCAAACGGGAACACTCTAGAAGAGAAGAGGTTATGATATTAAATGTCTTATATTAAATGTGTGTAATTCTAATCTGGTATCACCAGACAAAGAATCAGATTGGTACAGGTAGACAAATCTTGCTGCCATTCCGCCATGAGATCGCACCGGAGCTCACCCCGCCACGCACTAATCTGGCGCGGCAGCGGAGTTTCGCCCCGGCGACGTGCCTTCACGCGCAAACAAAACACACGCACGAGCACCTTCACCTCCAAATACCATGGCCTCCCCGGAGATCATTGCGATATCCGCGGATCAATCGGATCCCTCTATCTATGACCCTCTGAAATGTGAGCAGCGCCCGAGTGGGCTGCCGCATCAAATTCGACGCTCACACAGGGGCTCTGTAGAGGGCCATGGACTGCACGACCCCCACATAAAACCTCTGGCAGGAGACGTTCGACCCTCCGAGATTCGGTAGGAGGCGTTTAAGCGCTGATCCCGTCCCTTCCAACTTAGGAGCCAAACGTCGAAAGTGCTCCACAAAGTTCCACCGACTGTCGAGGACGAGTCCTAGGTACTTCATCGGCGTCTCGGCGCCAATGGTAACCCCTCCTGCCGTTATTTGGGACTCACCCGAAAGTGGCGCGTTCCTGCGGCCATGAAAACACATGGCCTCGGACTTGTGGAGCGCCTTGTAGGCGACTACTACTAAGGATTAACATAGGCTACTTTTATTTTGGATAATTGAAACAAAAAAATACTTATTCTAAAATGTATATTCTACGCGGGCAACAGGTAGTAGTATTAATATAAGAAAAGTAGTTGTCCAAAAAGGTTGGCACCTCCTTTGCCAACTATTATGCGGTTGTTGTTACCAGTATTCGTGAATGTATTTTGATAAGTTGTTGTGTGTGAATTGGAATTTTGATTTGATATATAACACGGCCAAAATAAGCAAAATGTAGGTGCACCTGTAATAAAGAAAATGTATGATTAATACCATCTTCAAACTGCCAGAGAATGAAATGAAAAGAAAAGATCCTACGTGGGAAGGCGAATGATGAATTAAAGTATTTGCACACCTCCTCCAACCCAACAATTGTCATTTAAATATGAACTTTAAATCATATTTGAATTGTTTCTAAACAGAAAACACTATGCCGGAGCCGTGTTTTAGGTGTGCGATGTCCTTAAGGGTCACGATCCTCAACACTGAGGTAAACGTCATGAATGAAGGAGAATAAATGTCAGCTTTTGCCATTGGCAGAATAATAGCCCATGTGTTATTCTGATTATAATCTACTAGCTACTTCCGTGCGGTTTCACACGCTCTGCTCAGCTCCTATTGGTCGTAGCGTGATGTTTTATAGCCTATAGCCATATTTGATAAATGTACTATCTAACACAAAAAGAATTAATCAAATCAGATTTGTAGTTACGGAGATTAGCGCGTTCAAACAAACAAATAAAAAAATAAACTCTTCCACTCTATATATTAAATAGAGTATAAGATATAACATTTTTTTTTTGTAAGAAACTTTTCCCCACACTAGGATTTTCTTCTGTGTCGTGGGTGCGTTTACAAATATAAGTATAAGTTTACATACACATTACACCCAGACCCACCCAGACGGAACAACTCTCTGTGTGATCCACTGATTGTTGTTCCGTGCGGGAATCGAACCCGCGACACGTTGCGCGACTGCCACTTGCCCAGCCACCACGCCAACCGTGCAGTCCTATTAGCTAGTTCAACGCGGTTTTACCCGCTACTTGGCTCCTATTGGTGACGCATAAACTATGTTCAGTAGTCCACATCTTATGCGACAAAAATATTTAATTAAGATGTTCCCTGTTAATCAAATTTAATACCTAGATATGCCTAATCTCATGATTAAGCTTTTACAGCATTACATAAAAGCAAATATAGTCATGCAAACTAACCACACACACACACACACACCCACCCATACACACATCATTTATTTATTTATTAACTATGTACATATTAGTGTCATTACTGGAACTAATACCTAATGCACTAGCGTATGCCAATATTTATAGAATTAAATTACAAAGTATGTAAGTTACTATCAGGTACTACAATCATTCATTACTATGGTAGCTATATTCCTTAAGCTAAGATCATGAAACTTCTGTCTTATATTTGAAGGGTTAAGATGTAATGTATATTATTTTTTTGTGAGTCACATACTCTCTTTGTGAAAATAAAACAAGGTGCGATATACTCACATTGGAATCCCTCCAAGACCGCCAGAAACAAGAGAATACACACCTGAAACAATTATTGTCACATTTATACACATATACACATAATAAAGCACAAAACGAAATTAAATTACTTTCTTTAAATTACAGGGTTTAAACAAAACGCTCACGAAAAGCTGACAAAACGAAATTGTTTTTATAATTTTAATCGTTTTTGTTCTCGTATTATTCATGAAACATCAGCCTTGAGCAGTAGATTTTTTAAGGGGGGAAAATCATCGAGTGACTCCTCCCGCCTCGATGAGGCGGGAGGTGTCGGTCTATACAGACGCTCCCGTTTTTAGTAATAGATGACGCAAGATACGCAAGTAATAGATGTACCAACTTCCTATTGGACGAAATTCGAGACGCTCATACTAGTGCCGTCTGATTAGCAAAAATATAGCGTCTAAACGAAAAACGCAACGATTCTGAAAGCAGTTATTGTTATTATCACCATCATTATAAGCATCAACAGCCCCCTTTTTTTAAGGGGGGAAATCATCCAATGACTTCTCCTGCCTAGTTGAGGCGGGAGGGAGTGTCAGATTCTTACTGACTAAAAACCACCCCGTTCCTTCTCCTGCACTTCGAGCCGGAGCCCCGGTAACCCGTTACGTTCTCGGCGGCTCCGAATCTTAAATTTGCTCCGAATTAAATTAAACAGTTGGTTACAACTACCTAATATTACATAAAAAAACATTTAATTCCTTACTTTTACGAAAAAAAAAAACTTGTATTTTACCATCACATGTCGGCGTTTATCGGGAGCATTCCGTTTACACTCTGTATAGTCAAACAAAATTCCCTTTGCTTTAAAATATTGAAATACTAGCTTTTACCCGCGGCTTCGTTCGCGTCACAAAAGGATAAAAGTAGCCTATGTGACATATACCAATACACACAGCGCCATCTATACCAATTCTTTGGTTTTCCCTCGGGAATATCAAAATTTTCCGGGATAAAAAGAACCCTATTATTTATTTCGGTCTTCTAACTTTACGCCTGCAAAAATTCAAAGCAATTGGTTTAGAAGATACGGCGTGAAAGCGGAACAAACAAACAAACTCACTCCCATATAAAATACATAGTAAGTATAGTATAGTATAGTATAGTATAGTATAGTATAGTATAGTATAGTATAGTACAGTATAGTATAGTATAGTATAGTAAGGATCATGATTCTTCTTTTGTTGAAGTATCTATTAGGAACTAGCTACTCGACTCAAGGGACGATGTTTCACGACCCCTTCTTCAATAAATAAACTATTCAACACAAACATAATTTTAATTGTAACCAGTAGTTTCAGAGGTCAGTACGCTAAACCAAAGAGATACATCGTTTAACTAAAGATAGGACATAGGTTATAAGCTGGATAACTAAGTACTGCACGGTTGATGCGGTGGATGGGCAACCAGCTACCCCGCACTGTCTAGCTGGTTCTATTCACATATGGAACAACTCTTTGAGTGATCCACAAATTATTGTTTCGGGTCTGGGTGTCATGGGTATGTGAACTTTGTATGTTTGTAAACGCACCCACAGGAGATCCTAGTGTAAGGCAATGTTTTTAAAAAGAAACGAATGAAAAGAAATCAAAGATAGGTACTCACAATATAAATTAAGTAAAAACGCGGGTTATTCAGTAAATATACTGAGAACAACTCTACTAGTTTCGAAACACAGAGGGGTTCTTCCTAATGAGCAGCGTGCGCGGTCGCGGCGACGTCGCGCAGCTCACTGGCTGGCGTTGGCGCTCGCCTCGGTGTTGCCACTTGCGCTGCGAGCCCAACGCAGTCAATCAGTATATTCACGTGAGTAACCCGCGTTTTTACTTAATTTAGTATGTCTCACGATAGTTATTATAAAAACCCTCACAATATACTTCATCGCTGATATTTTTGATGGGACTTGTAGACTTGTAACTTCCACACTGGAGTACTGAGACTAACTGCACTGCTTGAGCTGGGGGTCGAACTGTGGAGATAACTGCTTATTACAGTGGCATTTATATAGATGCAGGGTATCTTCTTGACGTCATTCAAGATTATTTCTTTGTTTATAAATAGATAAAATATACGAAGTATAATTAGGTACCTTTAAAAAAAGGCTCCAAAGCATTTATTTCAATTAAACGAGAATTTGGAACTTTTGAAACGTCAACAAATCACTATCACTACATAGTATAAATCAAAGTCGCTATCCACCGTCTGTTTGATGCGGTTATTTTTAATAGAGTGATCCATAAGCATTGCACCCGTGTGAGCCAGGGCGGGACAGATCACCATAAGCAATCGGCGTAGCCCATGGACACCTGGAACACCAAGGCGTTAGAAGTGCATTAACGGCCTTTTGGGAATTGGGAATTTGAGGATTGTGGGATTCTGGGGATTGGGGAGACTGGGGAGGGGGGTAATTGGGCCTCCGGTAACCTCACTCACACGACGAAACACTACGCAAGCGTTGTTTCACGTCGGTTTTCTGTGAGACCCTGGTATCACTCCGGTCGAGCCAGCCCATTCGTGCCGAAGCATGGCTCTCCCACACTTAAGTGTCGCTAGTATAAAATAAATAATAGTCTGTCAGTCTGTCCGTCAGTGAAACTAGGTGTATAATTTTATTTAAGTTTCATGAATCCTAAATATACATGAATCTTATGTACCACATTCCCAATATATTTCATAGCTTTAACGATAAAGAAGTTTGCATACCAGACATTATTATTGCTATGACCTGTCATGTACCTGATCTAGGTTCGAATCCTGTACCTCAGGCAATAAACAGCGCTTAGCATAAAATAAATGATTCTATTCTATTTCTATTCAACTTATTTCTATTGATTGGAATGAAGATTGCCTCGTTGGCCGAGTGGTCGTATGTGCGACTCGGCAAGGGGTCTCGGGTTCGATTTCCGGGTCGCGCAAAGTACTACAGGGTTGTTAAAGAAATTCTCAGCAGTGGCACGGAGTCTGGAATTGTGCTCGGTATATGGCAAAAGGCCCCTATTAGATAGGACATAACATAAATAGTAAAAAGTGGGTGTTACATTGTACAAGGGCATTAAATGCCGTAATGTGCACCTAACACTTCGTACTACGTCTCGTGGACGGCTACAAAGGTCAGTAAAATCATTTAAAATAAAAAATCACGTATTTCAGTTTTACATTATTTACTTAGTAGATAAATTAACTATAATAAACGTAGATACAAACTAAAATACTGCGTTAAGTCTTTACATTAGTTATTATGTCTCCAATAGAAGACACAATATAGAACAGTCAGTCGAGTTGTTTGTCAGTACAGAGTCAGTTATCATTGGTTGGCTCAGTAGCCAACCAACCAATTAGCCAACGATTTCATTTGTTTTTAAGCCTAGAATATAATATTTTTGTGGCGAGCTAGATGGTGTGTATCTCATCATCTTCGTCAATGATTAGATAAGTCCAAGGTTTGAACTCCTTTGTTCTCTCTTCCGCTGGCTCCCACAGAGGCAGGTGCACGTGGTCCTGAAGATGGGTTGGGTACTGCATCACTAGGGATGTTCTTCACCTCTGGACGTTCCGTGTAAGGTTTTGCTGGAGAACCTAAGAGAAGCAATTTTCCAAAAAAACATATTTTAGTTTTACTTCTTAGACTATTCTGCTAAATACCAGCTTAATTACAAACCCATGACCGTTATGAGTGGAATATTTTATTTTAGAGCAATTAAAAATTGTATACATACGCAGCAACTAAGTGTGGGAGCCATGCTTTCGGTACGAATGGGCCGGCTCGACCAGAGTGATACCACGACCTCACAGAAGACCGACGTCAAACAACGCTTGCGTTGTCTTTCGTCATGTGATACCTAATTACCCCTTTCCACAATCTCCTCAATCCCTGAATCCCCAACAATCCTCAAATTCCTAACCCCAAAATGCCGCTAACGCTCTACCAATGCCTCTGGTGTTTCGGGTAACCATGGGCGACGCCAATTGCTTACCATCAGGCGATCCGCAGGCTCGTTTATCGGCTTATGCCATAAACTCAGTGTTAAAATTTTACACAGAGTATTTGTGCATATTTTATAAATTTACCTTCATTGACTAATGAAATGAAAGAGGAAGGACTTTGAGGTAGAATAATGGAAAAGACGATATATTGTACTGACTGCGACCCCAAGTAGCCTGGGATAAAGGTGAAGAAGAACTTCAGCAGTGGAAGGTTTTTGATGGGACAATCGTGTTATATATTTAACGACAGTACACAGCCACAGTAACTTGGGACCTAGTAGATGAATACCTAAAAATACTTACAATGGAATAGATCCACGAGCGCCACGACCAGAAGTAATGTCACCTGGAACAAGATAAATATTTACTCATTAATATTTGCTGAGTGCTGCTTCAGAGAAAAGAAGCAGTCGATGCTTCTTTGGTCACACGGTCGCTATTGCTAAGCACAAGGCACCGGGTAGTTATTGGTTATTTAGTGATCAGCCTTTCTTTTGAGGGGGGAAAATCATCCAATGACTTCTCCCGCCTTGGGTTATCGAGAGGGAGTGTCAAACTTTTACCTACTAAAAACCACCCCATTCCTACTCCTGCTCTTCGAGCCGGAGACCCGGCAACCCGTTAGGCCTTCCGCGGCTCCGTATCGGGCATCAATCCTTCTGGGCCCCATCTGTGGTGGTCTGATGGCTCTTTGAGTACGACTAAATCCGTGCGTACAGCGCGTTGCGTTCCGCGCGTGACGTACGCACGGATTTAGTGATCAGCTTAGCAATTCTGTAATTTTTTATACGAAATTTGGAAGTGAACTCGATCGTCGTCCGCTTTGTTATTGGTTGTGAGAAGAATCTCGACCAAGGACGTGCGTCGTGAAGAAATTAAAAAATCATGATGGCCCGGTCTAAGACGCCCGCATCTCATGCATGAGGGTGCGGGTAGCGGGAGTGCGGTTCTAAGATTATTTTTATAATATTACTGATAAACGGTGAAGGAAAACATCGTGAGGAAACCTGGTGTTATAATTTCTAATTACAAGTTTGAAATCGCCAACCCGCATTGAGCAAGCGTGGTGATTAACGCTTTTGGTCAGCAGTGGCCAGTTACAGAATAGGGTAGCTGATCAACATTAAATGACAATTTGGAAACAGAAAACTGGGCGGCTCGAACCAAGTCAATTTCAAGATAGCTGCTAAAATATGCACAATTATTATTACTTACAATGAATTTCATCGTTGCGTTATTTGCACACTGTAATTGACTGCACTGCTCGAACTGGACGTTGAACTGTTGTAGTTTTGAAAGTACAGGAACATTTATACTGACGCTTATTTTCCTTGTACAAGGAAAATATACGTGCCTAATTAATTAATATATTTTGTGAAAAGCATGGTAATAAACCATTATCAGTGTCAATATATGGGATTATACGTACCTATATGTAATTATATTTTACATATATGGAGTTGCAGGAGGTTTTTACCTTTCGTAGGTCATATTATGTAAGTAATTTATTTTTCTTATATTGTATATGTTACCGGCCAAACCCGATTTCAGGACAAACTAGTTTTGCCTGGGCTAAACTAGTTCTTCCTATACGCGTTAGTATTAACTAGTATAGCCTAGTTCAAACTAATTTATCCTAAGCCCGATAAGATAAACCAGTTTAGGGTAGAACAAACTAGTTGATTTAAATACGCACGCTCTAGGATAAACTGGTATAGCCTAGTCATAATAATAATATGATTATTGCGTCTATTAAAAAAATAGTGTGAATGCCTCGTTGGCCGAGTGGTTGCAAGTGCGACTGCCGGGCAAGGGGTCTCGGGTTAGATATCGATAGTAGTAGTTCGATAGTTTTAACGACGAATAATTTTAGTTTAATAAAAATGATTATTTTTCCAATTACGGAGTATTTTATTTACTTTATCTATTTATTTTGACTTTCTAGATACCTATATTAGAATGTTTAGACTAGGCCAAACCACTTCATCCTAGAGTGTGCGTCTTTATATCAGGATCAACTAGTTTGTCCTAGCCTAAACTGGTTTATCTTATCGGGCTTAGGCCAAATTAGTTTCAACTAGGCTATACTAGTTAATCCTAACGCGTATAGGAAGAACTAGTTTGTCCTAGGCAAAACTAGTTTGTCCTTAAATCGGGTATGGCCGGTAACATATACATGTATTACAGTTCAATATACAGCTAGATACTTTCACGCGGTTTCACTCACTGCTTGACTACTTCTCTTGATCGTATTGTAATATTTTACAGCCTTCATCTATAAATTGACTATCCAACATAAAAATATAATTATTCAATTCGGGCAGCCTCACTGGCCGAGTGGTCGCAGGTGCCACTGTCGGGCAAGGTGTCTCGGGTTCGATTCCCGAGTCTGGAATTGTGCCCGGTATATGGCAATAGGCTATTGACAAGTGGGTGTTACAAAGTACAGTGGTATTAAATGCCGTAGTGTGCACCTCTGCCTACCCTTTCGCGGATAAAAGGCGCGATGCAAATCACCGTGTTTGCAAATCACCCATGTAAGAGAAAATCCTTGTCAAGAGCAAAAATGCAATTTGATAATATAAATCATCATCATCGTCATCATCGCTTACCACCAGGCAAGATCGCCCATACAAAGGTCGCCCATTCAAGTATAAAAAAATAATTAGCCCTTGCCCGCGCTTTTTGAAGGAAAATGGGGGGTTAGAAAGAGACAAAATGTAGTAATCATTGATCCGGTTTACCATGAAAGATGGGCACACAAACAGACACACAATCTGACACACAATCTTTTATATTTGTATCTGTGTGCGTGCCTACTGTTGAACAAATGCTTTTTCTTTCACTTCTTTCTTTCTTACTTTCTTTCTTTCTAATCTGAAGTTCGGATCGAAGGTTGATTTGGACGTGTTATTATTATACGTGTTATTATTGTACGTGTTAAGTTCATGAACGGACGTTGTTATCGAGGACCAGTCCC